CCGCTGCCGCCGCCGCCGCCGCCGCCGCCCTCCCAGCCCAGCACCATCTTCACAGAGCTGAGCAGCGCGCTCGAGGCCCTCGACGATGTCGCCCGTTTCGGCCTCCGCCGCTGGACGGTAGACCACTCTGAGGACCTCCCGCCCGCACTGCACAACTTCTCGCTGCCCGACGCGCACACGATCCACATCGCGGAGCCGCTGCTGGCCCTATCCGCCGCCACCGCCGCCGGCCTCGTCGCCTGCATCGTTTGCATCGTATGCCTCGTTCGCGGCTGCCTCTACCGACGCATCAAGAGGGCGCACAAGCGTCTCATGGAGGCGAACCCTCTCCCCACCTCTCCGGCCGCCACACGCCCCCCCCCCCCTCCGCCCCCCACCCACGCCTACACCTCACCCGGAGAGGTAGGGTGAGCGTCGCACTCCGGCCACACTCTGACCTCTCACGCCACCCCTGCCGCGCAGGACGCCGCCTCCGCCGCGGTCGAGCTCCGCGAGGTCGCCGAGGGAGGCGGCAAGAACGGCCACCTCCACACCCCTCCTCCGGGAGGCCGCGTCGCCTCAGGCCGCCGCTCGGACTCGCTCGGCACGCGGACTGGGTCGTCGCACCTCGAGGCGCGCGCCCTGAGGCCGGGGGGGAGCCTTCTCCCGCCCGCGGACGTGTCCCACAACGGCGTGTCGCGTGCTGCTGTAGGAGCGGCTCGAGTCTGTGCTCGCCGAGGTGTGAGCCAGACCTCTCCTAGACCTCTCCTCGCCGAGAGAGGCTGTGATCAGTGTCAGCTCAGCCATCAGACTCCTCCTGCTAGGCGGAGCGGGTTCTGAACGACAAGCCGTCGACGCGCTGGTAGACACAGCATCGAGCGGAGGACACAGTGCCGCGGGACCTCCGCAGCGTCGACGCACGAGGGGGGCGAGGGAGGGCAATCTGACTCGCGCGCCAAACCCCCGCCCGATGCGGCAGGGCGTCAGCTGCGGGGAGGGATAGGCGAGTTGCGCACAGCCACTGCGGGGCAGTTTGCCAGCAGCGCGGTGGTGCTGGTGGGTGGGGATGGGCAGCGTGTAGGACAAGGCCACATCGGGTCATTATCGTCTCCACTCGCGGTCGCTGGCGGGAGAGCCGGGGAGTGGGGTCCGTGGCGGGCGGGCATGGCGCATGGGTGGGGGCGGGGTAGGGAAACACGCGAGTCTGGCAGCATGACTCCTGCGCACCGCGAATGCAATGCTCACGGCTGCGGGGCCCCGCGCGCCGGCCGCGCGCCGCGCGGCCGCGGGACGCGGGTCGCCGGGATGACCGCGAGTGTATTGTGTATATGAGAGATGTACGGACCGTGGTACTACGCAATACATGTTGTTGTACTGTACTGTAAGTATCCACACCGAGCAAAGAAGTAGGAGATCGACGCCACTCATGGCACAAATCTCTGCAACAGCCAACAGCGCAACACGCACTCACAGTCACACAAAAAAGGAACGGCGAACGCCGGGGCGAGGGGGTGAGGGGTAGGGTTGTGAGACACCTCCGGGAAGGGAGAGCGCACACGGGGACCAGGCTGACGTACAAGCCCACCGCACATGCAAACACGCCTCCACACAACACTCTCGTTGTAGTCTGTACGAAGTGAGTCTCACTGCTGTTTGCAGTCCGCGGCGACCTGCTTGTCTGCTTTCTCCGACGCGGAGAGCCCCGCAAGTCGCGCCTAGAGCACAACGAGCTGCCTCAGAAGGGTGGGGCTGACTGGCCAAGGGGCGGGCAGAAACGCGCTTCGAGCGCGGAGCAAGCCGCATCGTGCGGCGCTGACGTCCCCGGTATGACGGGTCGGTACAGCGGATGCTCCCTCGACCCTCGGTACGGTGCGTGAGCGCTGCGCGGCTGGTGGGAGTCTGCGCACGACCCCTCCGAGCTGCTGCCGCCGCAGACGCACACCTGGTGCGCCACGGCGCAAGTAGCGGCGCCCGCAGCCGCGGGACGAGGCAGCATCGCGCTGTACCGCACAACGGGGCTCTCCTCGTCCGCCGCCACCGCCGCCTCTGCAAGGTCAGACGCGTACGAGCGGCAGGCGCTCGGGAGCCCCTTGACAAACTGCCAGATGTGCCGCACCTGAGGGGAGGATGGCGGCGGTTGCGCGGTGCGGTGCGCGAGGCGCGGTGGCGGTGAGGGACTCGCGCAGACGGCGGAGCGAGCCCGCCTCGTCCGAGCCGAGAGGTTTGACGAGGAAGGCATCGGCGCCGCGGCTTACGCAGAGCTGCACCAGCTCTATCTGCGTGTGCAGCGACGCCACCAAGATCGCAACGCTCTCCCCAACCAGCGCGCGTATCTTCGGGAGGAGATCGTAGCCGTTCAAGTCGGGGAGCATCATGTCGAGCAGGATGATGGAGAACTGCACACACTTAGGTGCCTCGAGCGTCGCCACTGCCTCCGCGGCCGTCGCGGCAAAGGTCACGTCGAACGTCACGATGCCATCATTCTTCCCGTTTGCGGCGGTGAAAAGTTTGTCGAGGACGAGCCGCTGCATCTCGTCGTCCTCCACAACGAGCACGTTGATCGTACCGACGGGCCGCAGGCGCAGGCTCTCGGCCACGGACTTGGCGACCTCGCTGTCCGACCGCACAGCAGCGGCCGAGGCAATCGGCTCGCACGGACCGGCCATGAAAACAGTCGAAGCCCGCCAACGGGACCTTTCCGGGTCCTGTTCGAGCCGAGATTGGACCATCACACCCCTGTTCCACCCTCGCCCTCGCCCTCGCCCCTCTGAACCACCCGCCGCCCGCCCATGCCGACTTCCGCCAATCCCGCCGCCCTCCCGCCTTCCCGCCCGCCCTCCGCCCTCGCCATCCCCCATTGTGATCTGTGCGTTCCACCCCGTCAGCTCCCTCCCCCGCTTGGCGCCTATCCCGCCCTCCGCCCTCGCCCCCCATCTCCCCCCGCCCCTGCCCTGGCTGGCCTGTGCCGCTGTGGCATCTCCTCCTCATCACGCGCCAAGTGTGTGTGGGAGGCGAGGGAAGTGGACGGGGGGGCCCTGAGTGAGCCGACCTAGCCGCGAAACGGAATGGGGCGCCCAACGCGTGCCGGATTACTGTGCCTTCCCCGGGTACAGCCTTTCGGTTCGTGAAGGGTCGGTGCGAGTCGTGCTTTCCTCGATCCCCCGCCCTCCCCGCCATCTCCGCCCTTTGTTTGGCTCTCCAGCCTTACCAGAATACCACCATCGGGAGGCGGCGAGCAGCGAAATCAGACTCGGTCGAAAGACCCCAATCCCGTGCCTTTCTGGACAGGGTGGCCCGCCCCAACGACCCCTGGAATTGCGACTCGCCGCTTTCCTCCCGCTGTGATTTTGTGTGGTTGTTTTGTTTGAGCTCTGTGTCTTGATCTGCTCTATCGACGAACCTACACACACAACATACATGGACATGGACATGGACATGGACATGGACATGGACATGGACATGGACATGGACATGGACATGGACATGGAGAGAGAAGCCCAAATCACTGTGAGAGTCGTGATTTCCTGTTGGTTTTCAAAAATCTCTCTCTCCCAATCAGCAATCTCCATCGCGACCTGCATTCTTTCGGTCTTTGTTGGCAAGAAGACATTGGTTTTGCCGATTGTCAGGCCTGCTTCTCATACGCCGCTGTATTGAGGGTCAAGAAAAGAGAGGCTGCCCCCCTCCCGCTGCCGCGACGAGGCCGCCCCCCTCCTCGAAAGGGACGGCTCGGGGCTAGGCCGGGAACACACACACACACACACACATAGTACATGGAGGCGCCGGGGTGGATGGCGGGGGCGCGAGAGATTCAGCGGCACTCAGGGTCTGGCACATAAGTCAGGACGTACGAGTTTAGCGCCAGTCTGACGCCATCTGACTCTTCTCTTCCGCCATGGGGCTCGTCTTCTCCAAAGTGTTCTCCAAGCTCTTTGGTACTGCAACGCGCACCCCCTGGCCCCGGCCTGCCGTTGCCGCCCGATCGCACCGCACCTCTCCACTCTCCATCGCGGCCTGCCGTTGCCGCCCGATCGCACCGCACCTCTCCACTCTCATCGCGGCCTGCCGTTGCCGCCCGATCACACCGCACCTCTCCACTCTCCATCACAGGGAAGAAGGACGTGCGCATCCTCATGGTCGGCCTCGACGCGGCGGGCAAGACAACCATCCTGTACAAGCTCAAGCTGGGCGAGATTGTGACGACCATCCCGACGATCGGCTTCAACGTCGAGACCGTCGAGTACAAGAACATCTCCTTCACGGTGTGGGACGTCGGCGGCCAGGACAAGATCCGCCCGCTCTGGCGCCACTACTACCAAAACACGCAGGGCGTCATCTTTGTCGTCGACTCGAACGACCGCGACCGAGTCGTCGAGGCGCGCGACGAGCTGCACCGCATGCTCAACGAGGACGAACTCCGCCAGGCGATCCTACTGGTCTTTGCCAACAAGCAGGACTTGCCCAACGCGATGAATGCAGCAGAGATCACTGACAAGCTCGGCCTCCACTCCCTCCGGCAGCGGAACTGGTACATTCAATCGACGTGCGCGACGACGGGCGACGGCCTCTACGAGGGCCTCGACTGGCTCTCCTCATCAATCTCTACCCTCCCCGCGAGCTGAGGACGCTGCGAGGCCACCTATACGGCCAGAGATAAACTCGTCTCGGGGCGGGCAGATGGGGCACGATGACGGTCTGTAGGCACTGCGACTACAGACCAAGGAGGCCCCCCCGCGTGTGAATCCGTGTGTGTGACCAGTGACCAGGCACCAGCTGCAAACACTCGCATTACCTCCCACCACACAAAAAACCAGCCGCCTTCCGTTACCCCACAAAGAACCCTGCACAAAGATCGCACGGGCGGGGACCTGTTCCTTTTTACCCATCACAGTAAGAGGTGTCCGTTTTTATTTATTTACCTCTGATAGAAGGACTTCTTCGGTTCACTCTTCACTTGATGTTGAGATGGATCTTGCCGCTCTGTGCCGGGTTGTGACGAGGGGTGAGGGGACGGATTTTGAAGATCCCTCACATCAAGATCGTCCGCAGGGCGGGGGGACACATGAGACATGTCCCTAAATCCCATCTCGTCTCAGAGTTTGACCGATTTACTTAATTAAGGAATCGCGGCGGCCCCCACACGCCACAGCTGTGGGGCCGCGCGGGCGCGCCCAGGCATGACGCATGTGGCCCGTGGGCAGGTTTCAGGCTGTGTGCCGGTTTTGTGATATGCCACAATTGCCATCACCCATCAGCCATATGTCTCAGACACCCGTGTCGCACGTCGGCTTTAGATCTACCTTTTGTGTTGCGTGGTCTACTGCACTGTAGAATCGGAGAGCACCGGATCTCGCAAAAGACACGATCAAAATGATACGGCCGCAGAACCCGCCTGACGCTGCGGCAGCGGCCTGCCCTCGCTCAACGCGCTCAGCACCGCATCAACGTCAAAGGCAAAGTCGAGCAGCGGATGACCTCGCGCCGCCGGCGTCACCATCTCAGCCGCCCCCTCGCGCTGCCTCTCTACCCTCCCCGCGGGCCGCTGCAGCACGCTCACCTGCTTGCCTCGCCCGCCAGGCGCGACTCCGAGCGCGACGCGGTTGGCCCTCGACGGCTTGGTGGCGGCGGCGCTCGCGCCTGCCCCCCTCGGCTCGCGCTCCTTGCCCTTCCTTCTCGACCCCGTGGCGACGGCTGCCTCGCCCGCCGCCGGCGCGGGCAGCGCGGCGGGCGGCGGCGGCGGCGGTGGCGCTCCGTCGCCGAGGGCTGCGTCAGCGAGCACGCCGGAGCCAGAGAGCATCTCGAGAAGGGCGGCGGTCGCGCCGGCGTCCTTGCCGCCCGCGGGAGTCAGCTGCTGCGGCCCAAGCTTTGGAGAGGAGGAGGAGGAGGCGCCCGCCGAGGCGGCGGTGGCGGTGGCGGGGGTGGCGGCGGCGGCGGTCTGCTTCTTGCCTCCGCCCTTCTTCTTCGCCTTTCGCTCGGCGGCGAGCTGCTGCTTGAGCCAGAGGACATAGGGCGCGACCATCCAAAAGGGCTTCTTGTCGGCCGCGGCACAGGCAGCCTCCTTCGAGGTTGGGAGTGCCTGGGGGGGGGGGGGGGGGCGGGGGCTCCCGCCACCAAGGCTCGGGTGGCAGGGAAGGGGAGAGGCAGGCGGCACACATGCGCCAACCAATCTCGGATCTCAGCTGGATCTCGGCTGGATCTCGCACCGCGAGCTTGTGCCACTGGATCTCGTCGATCTCCTTCTTGGTGCGCGTCTGGAAGAGCGTGTCGGCGGGCACGTTGCGCGCGAGGTAGAGGCGGGTGAGCGGGAGGCCCTTGTGCTGCCGCTCGATGTAGACGGAAGGGTCGATGGCCTGTGGGCGAGTTGCGATGCGGGGGCGAGGCTCGTAGATAGTGCGATGCGGGGGCGAGGCACGTAACTCGGTGAGGGCTCCTCGGTGAGGCGCAGTGTGTGACCAGAGGAGGTATGGCAGAGACCGCATCGTAGAAGTGAGGCTCCTCGGTGAGGCTCAGTGTGTGGCCTCGGCGCGGCCGGGCCTAGGACAGATCACACCTCCTCGAGCCATCTCGGCTGCGTCTCGGCTAGATCTCGGGCCTGGGAGATGTCATACCCGACCTCCTCGAGCACCTCGCGCACCTGTGCCGCAGAGGCGAGGGGCGGGCGGCGGGGAGGAGGGTGGGGGGGGGGAGAGGGAGGGGGGGAGAGAGGCTGTGTGGGAGAGACGCGCACTCGCGCACTCGCGCACTCGCGCACACGCGCACACGCGCACACGCGCACACGCGCACTCGCGCTCGCACATGCGCACATGCGACGGTAGAGAGCGGGGAGGCACAGGGAGGGAGGGGGGTCTGGTGGGCGAGGGGGGAGAGCAGGGCACCGCGCAGGCGACGTGAGACTCGTCGCGGTCTATCTTCCCCTTTGGGAAGCCCCAGGACTTTGACTTGTGCCCGAGCACGAGCAGGACCTGCGGGCGGTGCCGTGGGGCGGTGGGTGCCGTGGGGCGGTGGGGTGGTGGGGCGGTTGGGCGGTGGGGAGGTGGGGAGGGGGTGCGGTGGGGAGGGGGGTGCGGGGCCGAGCGCGGCGCGGCACGTGCAGCGATGCGGGCGCGGGGTCGCGCAACCTTGGTCTGGCTCTGGTCGAGCAGCATGGCGCCGCAGGTCGGGATCTGGATCTTGTACTGCCGGAACTTTTCGTACAGCTCGCTGGTCCGCGCCGCGAAGGGCTTGAGGAGCTCACACATCTCGAAGAGCTTCTGCGCAAACTGGAGGAGGGTGAAGCACGGGAAGGAGTGCGGCCAGATCTCGCGGTACTCGTCGTCGTAGAACCAGAAGGCGGCCTCCACCTGGAAGAGAAGCCGCTCAAACGACTCCTGTGCGCGCGCATCAAGGCGTCACGTTGGCACGCGACCCAGAGCCCGTGGCTGCGCGCGCGCTTCACCTGCTCCTCTGCGGGACAATTGACAACGAATCGCATCGCGAGGTCGTCCATGACCATCTGGAGCGCTGGCGGCGGGCCGTGGTCGTCGCCGCCGCTCTCAAAGAATGCGGCCGCCTCGACTTCGCTCCACGATGCCATCTTGGCGAAATCGATGGGAACTGCGTCGGCGCCTGCATCGGCTCTGATTTGCTCCAGCTGCGAGCGTGAGAGCGTCATCGCCCCGGGCAGAACGCCGCTCACCCCCGCACGGCGTTTTTAAGGCTTTAGCAGCTTTTAGGACTTGCCAAACAAAAGAAAAACTCCGCGGCCGACCGCGAGGTGGCATGAAGGTTGCAGCGAGAATCGGCGAGGGACTGCGAAGAGAGATAGAAATCCTCCTCCGGGAATGTACCTAAGAGCTACATACACTGAGAGGGAGGCAGACGCCCAAGGGTTAGGTGGGCGACGGCTAGCACCACCTCTGGGGTGGCGCGGGGCCCCCCGGAGGCACCGTGCGCCGCGCCGCAGTGCGGAAACGGGGCCCCGGCGCTCATACTCGCTCATACCACCGACTTCCCGATCCAACCCGGTCTAACAGAGGGCAGATTTGGAGAGATCTCGAGGAGTACATACAGACAGACCCTCTAACCATCAGAAAACTCCGACCTGATCGGTCGTACTGACCGCCGACAGATCAGTCCAGACAGCAGACCGGCCGACGTCTGCACGCGGCCGGCCGGGCGAGAGGCTTGACACGATCCGACCCTGCGACCCTGACGCTGCTGCTCTAGTTATCAGACATGCACTGCTGACTGCTGCCACAATGGGCGACCGGTGCTGACCCACTTGGCGGCCTTCCCGGTCAATGGTGAAGCGCAGTTCAGAGCTGTCGATGGCGCGATGCCGCACTGGTCCCACATTGGTGACACGAGACCACCACGTTTGCCGGTCCAAGAGAGAGGCGCCGGCGCTGTCCTGAGAAGGTGCTAATTTCAGTTGCTATGCTAAGTCGTAAGTGAGATGTGACGAACTGCTCTGTCGTCTGTGGAATACTACTGATGGTGATGGAACTGGGAGCCACTGAGTGATGGTGGGGGGCACTTAGCCCTGGTGCTAATGCTGACTTTACTACATGGACGGTTGCGGTTGCCTATATGTAAGACTGGTTTTTATTTCGGGTTCTGGGTTCGGCAAAAAAACTCCGACACTGTCGATCGAAAATATTGGAAAACATCCGACAACGCGCTCATGTTCCTGAGATGCATTGCGCATCCTCAGATGCCACATTCTATCCTGGGATGCATGGACTAACCCAAGATGAGGGTATCATATCGGCACACTTGTGCGTCTGAAGATGACTGCAGTATCTGAGTACTGAGATGTCACGCGCTATCAAAAGACGCGGGGCACCACCTAAAGATGATTAAATCTTCTTGCAGAACCCAATCATAGTGGAGACACCCGGTGTCCTCAGATGGAAAACGCATCCTAGATGGCGTTTGGCATCTAGGATGCGCATATCATCTGTAGATGGGGGGGTCGCCGCCCCTGACGTCCGCGGTGGTGCCGGTGGACCGCGCGGAAAACACAAGAAAACGAGTGCGCTTTTTCACCTTTAGGACTTAGCTCGACGACGCTACCAGACAGACGTGCATGCATACGTAAGACTGTGTGGAACCCCCCCTCCCGAAACAATTCTCAATGGCGTGCGCGCTGCGGCCGAGGTGGTGGCTGTGCTCGATCAGCGCGTGCTGTGCTCAGCGGGTCAGGCTGTCAGCGCCGCTTCTTCGTCGCGGGATCGCCGCTTCTGCCGGCGGCCCGCTTGCCGGTCGTCGCGCCCCCGCTCGCCTCGATCCCCTCCGACATCGCCGCGGCCGCCTCTCGCCCGAGCGAGTACTTGTCTGCCAGGTGGCGCAGCGTCCCCTCCTCGGCCGGCGTCACCTTGCCCGCGTCCTGCACCGCCGCCAGCAGCTGCTGCACAGCCGCCGCACTGAGCTTGCCGCCCCGCGACAGCGAATCGCCTATGCCCACAGCCTCTGCTAGTCCGCAGCTGCCCTCCCCACAGCTCCACACTCCCTCGAGCAGCTCGCCCAGCTCGAGCAGAGCGCGGTCGCACACCAGAGCACCAATCTTGACATAGTACCTCTCCTCGCCGGCCGCCTCCTCCGCCTCGGGTTCGAGCAAGTCGCCGCGCTCGACCTCCACCCACGCCTCCGCCGCGCTCGGCTGCGGCGCGGCGGGCTGCGCCGCGGGCCCGGCCAGCCGCGCTCCAAACGCCTCGAGCGCCACGCACAGCCGCTCGCGCTCCTCGCTTTCGGCGCGCCTACCGCGCAACACCCGCCAGACCATGCGGCGCCCACGCCCGCCGCCTCGCCGCCCGCCCCGCGCGCCTCTTCAGCGGCGGCGGCGGCGCCCCCGCCGTCGCGATCTCCTCGAGCCGCGAGAGGAGCGCGTCGCGCGCCTGCGGGCCGGGTGCGAGATCGAGGTGCGAGAAGGCTCAGGCGGCTGCTGGCCGCTGGTGGCTGGAGCGGCGGGAGGGCGGAGGAGCGCGCCGCGAGGAGGGAGCGGGGCCGCCGCCCCGCGTTCAGCGCCTCTCGCGGCGCCGCCTCCTCGAGCAGCGCGACGATGCGCGGGATGTCGCCCTCGCGGTCGAGGGCGCCGCCCACGTACAGCATTGCAGACGCGAGCGCGCTGCTTCCCTCGGCGGCGACCAGCGCGGGAGACGCGTCGAAGAGAGGGCCGCACACGCGCGCCAGCGCGGCGAGCGCCGCAGCGCACTGCGCCGCCAGCGGCTTGGACGCACGCAGCTGCGAGCAGAGCGCCTCGACCGCCGCAGCCGCCTCGCCGCTGGCGGGCGCCGCCGCGCCACCCGCCGCCCTGCCTGCGGCGCCGGCACCGCCCGCCGCCCCGCCTTGGTCCGCCGCCGCTTCGCCCTCGCCCGCCGCATCTCCGGCGTCCTCCGCCTCGCCCTCCTCCGCCGCGCCCACCTCCGCCTCGCCCTCCTCCGCTGCGCCGCCGCCCGAGGGGAGCGCGAGCGGCACCCCGTGCCGGGCGAGCAGCTCGGCCAGCTGCGCGAAGAGCGCGCCGTCGGACGCGTCGTGAACCTTGCGGTGCACCATGGCCCACAGCTGCTCGTGCTCGCCGCGGTCGAGGCCAGTGAAGCCCACCGTTGACGAGCCGCCGCTGCCGCCGCCGCCGCCGGAGGGCGCCGCCGCCTCCTCGTCCGCCGGGTCAAGCGCCCGAAGCGGCGAGGGCCGGGCCCCGCGCAGCACCCTGGCTCCTCTTTTGACGATGTCGGCGACAGCGGCCTCCAGTAGCCTCGGGTCATCCCTCTCCGCAGACTCCTCGACGAGCGCAATGTCACGCGCCACCCTAGCCGCAGCCTCGTGCGGCGCGCGGGGATCGGCCCCGGCGAACGACGTCCCTGCCCCAGCACTGCGCAGCGTTGTGCGGGGCATGCGGTGCGTGCAGCCGGGTGCGGTACGGTGCGGTGCGGTGCGGTGCAGTCCCGGGGTGCGGTTGCCGGCTGGGCTGGGGCGCGGGAAGAATTCGAGTTTGCACATTCATGGCTGAAAAGGGCGGCGGCGGCGCAGGACGAGGCAGAAGAGAATGACGCGACAGAGGAGGAAGTGACAAGGGAGAGAACGGCGAGAGTGGGACGGCCGCGAGGTGGCATGAAGGTTGCAGCGAGAATCGGCGAGAGACTGCGAAAAGAGATAGGAAGAGGCAGACTCCCTAGGGTGGGCGACGGCTAGCGCATCACACTCCTCTCCTTAAAATCCCTGTGTGGTGGCGGCGTGCCGTCCTCCCATCCCTCCCTTGGGTTGTCTGTTTTCTTTCTTTCTTTCAAAAGTTCTTCACCTTTCTACCTACCTACCTGAAAAGTGGGGGACTCCTATTTCCGCGACGGGACTCATAACCCTTTTTTTTCTTGTGGGTTCGTCGCTAAATAAACAAAAATAAATAAAACGGCACGGCAAACGAGGGTGGGAGAAAGGGAGAAGGACAGGGGCCCCACCAGCACGAGCAGGATCTTGTAAGGACGATCAGGGACACAGGGGAGGAACGGGAGCGGGGAGGAAAGCTGGGCCGGTGTTTATGTCGCACTTTCTTCTCTCTCTTGGCGCTTTCTTAAGCGCCTGAGCTCCTCCCAAGGCTGAGCTCCTCCCTGCATCTCGCAGAATGTCCCTTGTAACGTGAGAGAGTGCTGAGAGCGTGCGTGGGCTGCCGAATTTGCTTTCTCTTCTGGCTTCCATCACGACGCCCCGGCGGCCGCGCTGCTGTCGTGTCCCCGTGGACCGTCACATATGCCGTCTACTCGGCGCACGCTCGCCTGCCCCGCGCTCGTCCTCGTCCTCGTGCTGCAGGCCGAGCCAAGCCTCGCGTACGGCGCCGTGGGGCGGCCCGCCCGGCCTCCCGGCCGCATGCGCTCTGCCCAGCTGCCGCGCTGCGCCGTGGGCGACGCTGGCGAGTCAGCGCCCGCGCCGCCACCGGCCGCGGAGGCTGCGGGCGCCGATGGCGACGCGGGCATCCCCGAGTCCATGGTTGCGATCGCAGAGGCGCTGCAGCAGGACAGCATCGCTCCGCAGTGGACCGACGGCGCGGTGGAGCCGGCTGGTGAGAGCGGCGGCGCGTCCGCCCGGCGGCCGGTGGCGCCTCGCCTGCCGCCGCTCCGCGTGGACGAGCTCGACGAGCTCGCCCGCCTCGGCGAGCCCTCGTACTCGCTGTCGGCCGCCGAGGAGGAGCTTCTCGCCTCGTCGCTCGAGTCCATCGACTACCTGGGGGACTGGTCGAGCCCCTCCACGCGCGACTCGATCGTCCTCGCGTGCGAGAAGCCGCGCGTCATCCCCTCCCCCAGCGGCGGCGCCGCCGAGTTCACCTGCGACCTCGACGGCTTCACGCGCGAGCGGCGGGCGGTGCACTCGCGCATCGTGCGGCAGATGCTGCGTGGAGCGCACGTGGCGGGCGGCGGGAGGTGGGGCGGGAAGGGCGGCGGGAGGTGGGGCGGAGGCAGAGGCGGCGGCGGCGCCGCCGCGCGAGGTGCCGCTGCGGGCGGAGGGGCCGGCGGCGGAGGCGGAGGCGGAGGCGGAGGCGGAGCGCGGAGCGGGTCGGCGCGCGGACCCGGCCGCGGACCGCTCTCGAGCGTCGTGCCGGGGGACGGGGCGCAGCACGTCTTCCTCGTGGTCGGCGTGCCCGGCTCAGGCAAGGACTCTGTCCTCAAGCGCTACCTGCGCTCCCTCGACGGCACGCTGCTCGACGCCTCGGCACCCGCCCCTCGCGCCGCAGCGGCGCGCGCGCGGCTGCAGCGCACGCGCCCGGTCACCGCCGCGTGTGGCGGCTGGATAGGCGGACTTGGTAAAGGAGTACCTCGCCGCGTGGGGCGAGGACGAGCTCTCGACCGCCGTCCGGGAGAACAACGCGAGGCACGGGCCAGGCGCAGGTCGGCCTGCAGGCGCGGTGCTTCTGGTGTGAAGTGTTGACGGGCCGAGGGAGTGGTCCACAGGCAAGCACCTCCTCCACGCGCAGTACTTGCACCGCGAGTCGATCCTCGTCACGGAGCAGGTGAGACACTTCCGAGACGCCTCCAAGACGCCTCTGAGACACTTCCGAGACGCCTCCGAGACACCTCCGAGACACTTCCGAGACGCTTCCGAGACGCTTCCGGGAGACTTGCCATCCATTTGCACTCGCCGCTTAAGCAGTTGCGAGGCAAGCGGCGAGAGACCCGCCTCTCCCCCCGCGCCTCTCCCCCTGCGCTTCTCCCCCGGCGCCTCTCCCCACGCCCCTGGCCGGCGGCGGCAGGTTGTGCAGCGCGGCCTAGAGGAGGGCCGCTCCATCGTCCTCGAGAAGACGCTGCACTGCGACGCGCACGTGCCTGCGGCTCCACCGCCGCACCCTCCCCGAGCCGTGAACAGCGTCTCTCCACGCGCGCGGCTGTGAGCAGGTGCTCGAGCACGCGCGCCGCTTCGCCGAGCGAGGCTGCCGCGTCCACCTCCTCGGCACCTACATCACGCCCCTCCTCAACTGGCAGTTTCTCTGCAACCGCATGGCCTCCGGCGCCGCGTTCGGGCGCTACATCTCGAAGGCGCAGGCGGTCGACTCGCTGCGGCGCTACCACTCGCACTTCGACGCCATCCTGGCGGAGCGGCACAAGCGCGCGCCCCCCCGTCCTCTTCGCGTGGCCAAAGCCGTGGCGGAGACAGACGCCGAGCTGACCCTCCCCCTCCCTCCTCTCTCCCTGCCAGGCGCACTGCCTTCGACTCGATCCACCTGTATGACGTGGTCAAGGGCTCGTGGGGCATCAGTATACCCAACACCACGGTCACGTTTGCCGAGGACGAGGCGGAGGCGGGCGGAGAGGTGACAGCGACGGGTCGGGACAGGGGCTAGTGCGAGCAGCAATGGTCGAGCCTCCTACATGTCTCTCTGTGGTTCTCTTATCGCTGACGACTCTGTTGTGACACTTGTGTGCTGATGAAGCCGCCGTCTGCCCCGCGGGCCCGAGTGTCTTTGTCTTCTCTGTTGCATACTTGTGTGTGTTGTGGATGTGGTATGGACTATGGTGTACAACGCCTCGTTTTGCGTTTGGTGCAGTGCACGCCACGTGGACGTGCACGTCGACACGTGTCGACGTGCGCGGCGTGCGCCAGGGAGCCGCCGCACGTGAGCTAAAAGTCGTGACCGTCGTGTCTCGTGGAGTGGGTGCTGGTGAGTGGTGAGACTGAGAGCTGTTCCGCGTTGCTCTCACTTACATTTACATACACGCGCAGCGCAGCGCACAAGTTCGCTTTTCGGAAACGCCGGACCCTGCAGACTCCCACACACAGCGGTGCGCCAATATCTTCCGCGGCCAAAGTGTCGTGTGACGCTCTGCCTCATGGGCTCTGAGACTCGGCGCGAGCAGGCCGGGGTAGAGCGGCTAGCGGGGACGCTCACTCGGGTGTGGATCTTGTGGGGGGAGGGGGGAGGGGGAGGGGAAGACACCCAGATCACAACGAGACCCAGCAGGGCAGGGCGGGCGGAGGGCGGCAGTGCTGAAGGACAGGACCGCTCTCGCAGGAGGAGACCCGGAGGCGAGGGGCGGGGAGGGCGAGGGCGGGGAGGGGAGGAGGCGGGTGTGGAGGGGAGGTAGGCCGGCACGCAGGGCGAACACGCGCGGGGCGGCTACGCAGAGGCTCACGGAGAGGCTCACGCAGGGACCTCGGACAGGTTGACGGCGAGCCTGTGGGGCGGCGGCATGGGCGCGTCGAGGACGCGCATCGTGGACGTGGGGTCGTGGACAGGCGGAGAGGTGGTGGGGTGGTGGGCCGTGATGCGAAGGAGAGGGGCGGAGGGGAGGGGCGGAGGGGAGGGGCGGAGGGGTGGAGGGTGAGGGGCGGAGGAGAGGGGTGGAGGGTGAGGGGCGGAGGAGAGGGGTGGAGGGTGAGGGGCGGAGGAGAGGGGTGGAGGGTGAGGGGCGGAGGAGAGGAGGGGCACTCTCCTGCCAGAGAGGCCGAGCGCTGCGAGGGTGGCGTGCGGGTCCTTGCAGGGCGGGGAGCCCATCCCGGCGGCGAGCTGGTAGTGCCTGCGGTGTCGGCATGGCAAGAGAGCGTGAGAGGGGGGGGGGGGGGGTACGGCTGTTGGGAAGGGGTGGGTGGCGCGGTCTGGTTGCGCGCCTGCGCGTCGAGAGCGGCGTGCCCGAGGAGTGGTGCAGCGCGCAGAGCACGTCGCGCAGCGTGTGCTCCGGCTTAAAGGCCAGAGTGGTGCACGTCCCGTCTGCAGTGCAAGCGTCGGAGGTGGAGAGAGTGGAGCGGACCTCCCTCCCTCCCTCCCTCCCGTCCCTCCCTCCCGTCCCCCCCTCTCCCCCCGCCCCCCCCCCGCGACCCCGCGGCACCTGGCATGCGGACTCGCAGCACGACCGCGCCAGCAGCAGACGTGTCCGGCAGCTCGGGCGCCGGCGGCCAGGGCTCCTCTGGCGGGGGTGGCTCCGGCGCCGCCGCCTCGGCTGCCGCCTCAGGGGCGGCGGGGGCGGTGGGGGCGGCGGGGGCGGCGGGCTGTGGCGCGGCGGGCGAGGGCTCGTCCCAGGAGATGTCCTTCGGTGGCCGGTCCGCGTAGTCCATCAGCTTGTCCATCAGCCTGCGCGTGCGCGTGCGCGTGCGCGTGCGCGTGCTCGTGCTCGTGCGCGTGCGTGTGCATGTGCGCGTGTGCGCGTGTGTGTGCGCGTGCGTGCGTGCGTGTGCAGGTGTGCATGTGTGTGTGTGTGTGTGCGTGTGCGTGCGTGTGCGTGCGTGTGCGTGTGCGTGCGTGTGCGTGCGTGTGCGCGTGTGTGCGTGTGCGGTTTTGCCTCCCCCGCCGGCATGCACAGGAGGCGTCGGCCACCCCCCCTCCCTCTACCCCTGCCCTCTACCCCCGCCCGCACCTCTCCGCTGCGGTGAAGCCGTGCCACGACTTGACGAGCTGGCCGGTGACCGGGTCGAGGAGGCCGATGTGGGGGAAGGTCGCGTCCTCCCGCAGGTAGTGCCGGCAGTACGTCGCCCCCTCCTCCGAGTCGAAGTAGCGCTGCCACAAGAGGAAGGACGAGCCGAGGACCGCACGCAGGCCCTCGTCGGTCCACGTGTCGGCGTTGAGCTGCTGCGAGGCGAACTCGGTCGGCGACTGGATGTTGACGAGCAGCCAGCGCGACTGCTGCCGCCCGGTCAGCCGCAGCTCCTCGAACGAGCCCACGAAGCAGATCTCCGTCGGCGGCCGGTAAATCTCGGACAGGTTCTTTGCGCGCTTCGGAAGGCCAAATATGGCGCCGTCGCCGCCCCCGCCGGCGGCCGTGTCGTCGTCGTCGCCACCGCTCGGCGAGCCCTCCGTGCGAAAATCGCGAAACGCCTCGAGCGGGTGATTGGCAGCGCTCTGTGGCGGCGGACGCCGATGCGCCGGCCGCGCAGCTGGGTCGACGCCCACGAGGGTGTCGCTGAACTGCGCCATCGGCGCGCGCACGTCGTCGCCGTCGCCAAAGCCACCGAGAGCGGCGAGATCGCCCGCGCCGAGCCCCGCACCGCCGCCGCCGCCGCCACCGCCACCGCCGAACCCACCGCCCCCCGCCGCGGCACCACCTGCGTCGCCGTAGAGGCTCTGAACAGCGAGCTCCAGGTTCCAGCCGTTCGCCTCGAGGAAGCTGGTCGCAAAGTCCGCGTCGCAGGAGGCTAGGCTCATGAACTGTAAGATGACTTCCTGCTGCGTCGGATCCGCCATCTGATGTCCGCGGTTGACAGTGGCCCTGCTCTGCCTCGAACAAGAATTTTCGAGGGTTTCCTGCCATCCGATCCCTCATTGCCATACCTAGGTAGCCCATACAGACATGGCTCGTGCGTGTCGTCATCATCTGTCTTGCGTCCACCCATACCGCGTTGGTGTCCAGTCCGAGCCTGACTGTTCTTCACCTTACTACAAAATAAAATATTCTTACCTTCAAGCCCCCCTCCGAGACTAGGGACAGAACCACACCAGTATAGACCAGAGGGACTGCGCCTCGCCCCCACTTGCCCTGACTGCACAGGATAGCGTGCCCCGAAGACGGCGACACATAGCGGGGGACACTGCGCAAGGAGGGGGTGCGAAGCCAAGGTTGGGGTTCTGGGTGGTGGGACCAATGAGGGGGGGAGGGCGGGGTCCTGTGGGGGTGAAATGTTGCGCGGCGAATTCGAGCCTACCCCCTCGCCGCGCCGATCCTCACGCGGAGGGTAAAACCCTGTGGGACAAAACCCCTCCGCGGTCGGCTGTCTTCAGAGTGGACCCCCCCCTCCCCAGCCTCCCCTGTTCGTTTTTCGCACCCCCCCCCCCCGCTCCCCATCGGTGACTGGCGAAGGACACGGACACTCGGGGTGGGGGGGGAGGGGTCCCCCCAAAAGGGGGCTTTGGGGCCTTGTTGAGTCAATCTCCCCCCCAGAGGGGCCTCCTTGGGTCCATCTCGGGCCAAACTCGGAGTAATCTCGAGTCGATCTTTTAGCGATTGCGGGTTTAGCTCTGCCCTATCTCCGGATGATCTCCGGGCATTTCTGAGATGAACTCCGGTCGGTGTTCGGACCACACCCCGGACCCTCTCGAGGCCTAGCTCAAGCCATATAGGGCGATACTCTA